CTCTTTAGCCTATTATCCAAGATCACACTTATCTGCCACTCACTCGCCTACCCCTACAGCGATGTCTTTCTACCTGTTTAGAGGAGGCCTGCTGCCATTGGGGATTCTGACTTGGGAGGCTAGCTGCCACCGATGGCAGTTCAAACCCACTAGCTGCTGAACAAGTGAATGAGGAAATATTGCATCTCAAAAACAGAGGGGACAAAATAATCATTCATAAATTATCAAGGGTTCATGAGGAGGGGAAAATGAGGAGCTGATACCAAGGGCTCAAGTTGAAAGAATGTTTTGAGGATGATGTCAACAAATGTACGAATGTGCTTGGCACAATGGATAGATGTATGGATTGTGATAAGAGTTGTACAAGCGCCCAATAAAATAATTTTTTTTAAAACAGACAAAAAAAACAACAGAGAAGGTTCCGGAGCCACACGATTTACACGCACATCTATGATACAAACATGGGAAGGGGAGCCGGGTCTGGAGAATCATGCCTCATGCAGAGGAAGAAGGGACGTAAATCTTCACGTCCCTGGAAATAACGCCAGTCTCACCCCAGCCAGGGCGAGTCCTTAGGCTGAGAGAACTGATGGCCACAGGGTGTTTGCCAAGCACCGTGCTGCGGAAGACAGCATCAGCTCAACAATCCTGAGGGGCTGGTGTGCGAAGGCAGTCGTCTGACCCTGATGAACGTCGAGCTGCTGAGGCACACGTCAAATATCGGAGGACTGGTTATAGAGCTGCTTCCCAGAGCGTCGGTGACGGCCAAGCTGTGTTCTCTGCATCTTTGCTTACCATTTGGGGGGAAAAGGCGGGGAAAATAGCACCGATCTGTTTGAAATCAGAACCTGTTCCTTGGGGCTTTGCTTCTGACTGGTTTTTGACGCAGTTTCACGTTGCCTTGTTAAGTGGACCAACAGGGACATGAGTAGTGAACGAAAGACCCTTGCTTCCCAACTAAGAGCCATAGGGATATCCTTGTCGGTTGTCGCTTGTCCAGGTACTTTGGGGATAGGTAACGGGCACACCAGCATCCAGGAAGTTTGGCCCCAGATTTCCCCCAACGTAGATATCGGGTGTAGGCAGAAAGGGCAGTTAAGATCATGAGACATAAAATTGCAATCTCTACTGAACTCACTCCTTGATTTCAAGGGGAAGAAACTATATGGACTGGCTTCCCAACTACTTAAATTATTCATTTTATTCTCTCTCTGAATGAGAAGATTTTGAGTTATCCTGCTAGCTACCTTGGTCAGCGCATCAAAAACACGGCACAAATTCAAGGTCTAAGACACTTTGCTTTGTGGCAGGTCGTATGCAGGGAGACACTTGGTGGCACCTGGATTTAAAACTCCAGTGGAGCACTGACGCGTCCACTTGAATGTGTGTTCAAACCTGCTGCTAAAACCTAAGGCGGTATTGTTTAGCTCAAGGTTGAGTGAAACAAAAAACAGCGACTAGGTTAAAAGAAATATTTTAAGTAGAGCAAGTTCAAAGGGTAGAAGGATATGGGCAAAATCAAGAAAATGGTACTCAGATTTTAAAGCTTAGGAAGTAAGAGATTCTGTCACATGGAAGGAACTTGCCTTGGAGGCTGTCCTAATAACTGAGGGGACAAAAGGCACAGCATGATACTAATTCCAGTCCCTCTCCATCCGGGCGGGAGACACTTGCTGCCGCCACTCCAAACCCTAATGCCAGTTCTACTCAAACATACTGGCAAGGGCAGCCCTGTCCCCAGAAATTGGGGCCCTGCCAGGTTCCAAGTCTTCCCTGCTCTACACACTGTCTTTGGGGGAGCATGGTCGCTCACACGTGCATTCTCCTTTTCTCTCTCAATCTCGGCTTCATCCATCTGCATGGACACACCAGTGGTCCCAACAAGGTTTTCCCTCCTGCAAGTGCTCTCTCTAGGAGCTCGGAGGTGTGGTGGCTACGTGGTCGGCTGCTAACTGCAAGGACTACAATTTGGAATCATCAGCTGTTCCTCGGGACAAAGACAAGGCTTTCTACTCCTGTACATAGTCTCAGAAACTCACAGGGGCGCTCCAATCCCGTATCACTATGAGTCAGCATCAACTTGGTGGCCGGAGTTTTGTTTTGAATCTTGGAATGTTCTATCTGATACCTGTACTTGAACGCACTTCAAATCGACAGGTTTAAAATCAAGCTTATTTTGACCTCCCAAATGGTTTCCTTCTCTTCCCATATATACTCACTAATTGTTTAAAACGGGAGCCCTGGTGGTGTCCTGGTTACTCGTTGGGCTGTGTTCCGCATGGTCAGCAGTTTGAAACCACCAGCAGCTCCGAGGGACAAAGACTGGGCTTTCTTCTCAGGAACTGTTCATGGTTCCACATGCCCATAATGCAAAAACCCCTTAGCAGCACGCAGAATACGCTTTGACTGAACCACCTCCTTTCCGCGCCCTGCGCTCCAGACCATTCATTCTGACACTGATCTGCTGAGCAACGGCTCTGTGCGGAGCACCACGGGCAACACTTCCTATGCTTCCTCAATGCACGGTGGCTTAGGTACTGCCTGCATTGAGACATAGGCAAACCTCAGGCCCCTATAGCCATAATTTCTTATCTGCTCTATTACGTGGCCCTGGGCTCATGCCTGGGGCTATGCACGGATTTTGGAGGGAGTTCTCTGTAAGAGGATTAAGGTGAGGCCAAGGCCTGACCTTAGTAGAGGGGTGTGAACCACATGACACACTTTGTTTCCTTAGGGACACCTTCAAGGCTACTTTACTAGAGGGTGTGATGTAAGACACAGTGTTTTCCTCTGGCTTATGAGCCACACCTCCATCCATCAAAGCCATCCCTCGGTGTGAAAAGCCTGCATCCCGGCACCCCTGGAAGAGCACGTCCAAGATCTCGTTCTGAAGGGCCGAGGCTGCAGGACCAGGTGCACCAGAGACTGTGGCACGGGGCCCTGGGGCCCTGCTCCTCATCTGTGAGACAGAGGGACAGGCGAGCTGCCTTCCTGGCCTGCGAGGACCAAAGCCAGAGACCACGTGGCTGCGAGGCTGAGGGTCAGAGAGAGGCCTGTCGCTGGCTGAGGAGAGGTGTGACCAGTGCCCATCCTTGTTGTTAGCTGATCCTGACTGGTGGTGAGCCATTCACTTTTCTAACCCCCTTTATTTTGAGAATTATCCGTGACTTCTGTGTGGCCATCGTGACCCAGCGTAGGTGAAGAGGGGTGTGGGAGGAACAGGTGGTGTCAGAATAGGTAAAGGATGGACCGTGGAGACATGTCTGACCCGTCTGTGGCACTAGGGAAGTCAGGGTACATCAGATATGGCCTCCCACACCACTTACTGCAAATATATTCCACCTCAATTTAGAGACCATCAGGGCACTGGGCACGAAGGAGAGCTGACGAGCTGTGGGATGACATAGGTTCTGTGTGGCCAATGCAACAAATTGTGGACCCCAGCATTTATGCAGAGTGGCATGGGAGGAAGAGCCAGTGTCAGTCTAGGTAAAGAACCATGGGGCGAGAAGGCCTGTCTGACCGCTGTCTCATGGGGATAGGGAGGAGGCCAGAGGAGGCTGGGTAGGTCCCCCCCCACACCCGGAACTCAAGCAGCTCCAGTTTACAGAAGAACTGTGAAGGCACGGGTGACCTAAGGAACTTCACCAGCCCCATGGACTTCCCCTACACGGCTGGATCTTCACCTCTGCTGCCTGGGGAAATCTACTCAGCATGAACCTCTGAACTCAAAACTCAAACTCAAATGCACTGCCATCAAGTTGGTGCTGACTCACGGGTGGTAGTGACATCTATTGTCAACTTGACACAATGAAGAGTGGAGGGGTGGAGTTTAGCCTGTCAGTCAGGTCGCAGCTCGATGACCTCATTTGGAGGCACTAAGGAGATACATAGCTTGCTGGAGGAAGGACACACACACACTCTCCCTGCGAGACATTCCTGTGGACAGCCACATGGAGCTACACTGATAAAGCCAGAGCCCTGGAGCTGGAGGAACCAGATGGAGACACACACCAGCCTGAGATGCTTTTACCACCACTGGATCCACGAGACTTTCCACCCGCTGGCCTATGATCTTCCTGCATTTGCAGTCACTGCATGTGTTGCGTGAAGCTGAAGAGGAATTTACAGAATGGCATCGGACATATGGGCTAATATCAAACTTATGGACTTGATCTGGACTGAGCTGGGATGTTTCCTTAATATACAATTACTCTTTATATAAAGCTCTTTCTTATACACAAATATGAGTGTCAATGAATTTGCTTCTCTGGTCTACCGGGACTAACACACACACACACACACACACACACACACACACACACACACACGGTGACCCTATATTGCCCTTATGGGCTGCCAAGGCTATGGTCCTGATGGAAACGGAATGTCAAGACCTCTCCCACAGAGTGGCAGGGAGATGAAAACCACTGACTTTTCTGTCAGCAGCTGAGCTCTTAACCACACTGCACCACCAGGGGGATCTTGAAGTCACTGAAACCTGAAACCAAACATACTAGCATAGAGTCGATTCTGAGTCAGGGCACCCCTGCAGGACACAGAAGTGCCCCCTAGGGTTTTCACGACCCCCACGGCTGTCTCTTGTGACACAGCTGGTAGGTTTGAACCACTGACAATTCAGGTGGCAGCCCAAACGCTGAACCAACTGCGTCCCCAGAGCACCCTGAGGGCCCTAATCCACCACCACCCCTGCCAACAAGTCACTGCCAACTCATGCTGACCCTATGCTGCAAGGTTGCCGACACTGTGAATCTTCCCCGGGCAGGCAGTCTCAACTTACTCCCGTGGTGCGGCCAGTGGGTTTTAACTGCCGGCCTGCGGGTTTAACAGCCCAAAGCATATCCCACTATGCCACCAGAGCTCGGCATCAATTCTTAAAGGTGACTTAAAGCCACTCCAGAGAAACCGGCTTCTTTCAGAGTACACCTCAAGGAAGAAAATGAGGTGTGCAGACGATGAGAAAAGATACTCTTACTGACCGGGCGGCTTCTCTTGTACTTGGATTCCGTGAGTTCTGCGGGCGGCTGCGTGGCAGTGCAGCTGGAGCTGACGTTCCGGTACCCAGGGCTGGGGAGGATAAACTCTTTTCCTATGTCAATATCCTTCATCTTCCCCAGGGCAGGTGCCAGGGCTCACAGACGCTGGGACTCCCTTCGGAAATTCTGCAATTAAAAACTCAGTAAGAATAGCTCTTCCACTAAATCCCTCTGCTTCATACACTCGAGCTGGGGGTTAAAAATGGTAAAGGCATGATAACTTTCTATCACTAGATGTACAACATTTCAGTGCATTTCATTGTTGAAAGGGGAAAAAAGCAACAACACACATTCACTATGATAGAATCAAGAAGTTACTTCCAACCACCTCAATGGGGGTGGGGGGACAGGTTTAGGGAAAAATGAGAGCACAATTACCTCCAACTGGAGCTTAAAGCCCAACGTGAAGCACATTAGACAGGTGTTTAACAAAGCCCCAGAAACCACTCCAAACATTAAACATTAAAAATGCCGTGACTTTTAAACTGACACCCATTCTACTAAGTTGTTCTAAAGGATACTCTATTTAGGAACGTCTATAAAATATATATATTATTTATTTATACTATCTCTGCATTTTTAGAATTAGCTCCCTGAAGTTACGCGGCTAAAATATGAAAAAGGTATTCGATTTGAAAATGCCCTAAAATTAGAAGTGCTGAAGGCTGCCCAATGCTGTGGATGCACAGCTTGACGGTGAACCGTGCGCTTCAAAGGGCTGAGGCTGATGGGATGTACGTGTGATTTCAACAAGGCTGTAACATAAAATACCTTAAAGCCAAAATGTTTTCCCCCCTGTACTCCTAAACAACAACAAATAAACCAAACTGACTCACAACAACCCCTGTGGGCTGTCAAGACTGTAACTGTTTACCAGAGTAGAAAAAGCCCATTCTTTCTCCCTCGGTGCTGCTGATGGTTATAAACTGCCAACCACATGGATCGCAGCCTAACCATACCACCAGGCTCCCTGGACTTGTAAACCCTACCTACAGTACATTCTTTTGGAATCTGTTCTTAGTTGGTCTCCGGCATCAACTCTGGCCACGTTTTAAAGACATACACACCCACCTCTCTAAAACATTCCCCTCACTCTAAGATGGTGCGAAGCTTCCCCCAAAAGCTGTGCAAACAACTTTCATGCCACCTCACTAGACATTAAGCAAGTGTAGCTTTGGGGAGCTGTAAATCCTTATCCCGGACTTAGGTACTATGTCTCAGTACTACGTCTGCAGCACAAATTTCTGAAAGCTACAACTATTTGTTAAGCCTTCAGGAAAAATAAGAACACGTACTACTCCTCAGACTAAAAAGGGCTAATCTTCCCCACTCCAGACACATTGCCAGTGCAGAGAAAGGGCTAATCTTCCCCACTCCAGACACACTGCCAGCGCAGAGAAAGCTTGGTTTCTTGCCTTACAGACGTCTAAGTTACTTAAATTAAAACGTCGCCTTGTCCAATGACAAATGGCACCATGACAAACAGTGGCTTACCAAGCAGTCCGGGAGACCTCACTAAGGTCAGCAGATCAAACCCACGGGCCACCCTTCAGGGCAGAGTTGTAGCCATGGGCTTCGCAAAGATGACATGGGGTGGCTCTCCTGGCCTTAGCTAAGGTGGCTAAGACTTCACACAACTGTGGCTCTGCCAGTATCAAGCTGCAGATCTGAGTAACCCTTCTTGTCACGGGAATCATGAAAGTCCACCCTTCCTGGCCAATGGTTCCCTAGCTCAGCCCTGTATTGGAAGAGGAAAAGATTAGCCCTAGTTTGTAGAAGGGAAGGGGGAGAAGGGGAGGGAGGTTTGCAGAGGAAACCACATCAGAGTATACATCAGGGAAAACACCATCACCTCCAGGTGTCTAAGAACCCATGATAATCACACTTTTTTGGTCAATCGTTTTATTTCAAAGGACACCATGGGATCAGTAGAGTAAATGAGCAGAGTGGGGGAATGGGATGCCCTCCCATGGGTTTGTGCCAATTGTGGTTCGGATGGTAAGCGAATGCTAAACCTTTGGGCAACAACTCAGGCTACTCCATGGACGAAAGGTGTGGGGAATGGTTGCCCATCACTTCTCCAACCCGTTTCTTTAATTTCCCAGGCAAAGGGGCACAGCGGTGACAAAGGGGCACAGCGGTGACCATCCAGGTCCCCAGGAGGCACAAAGTTGCCATCTCTTGCCTGCAAATGTAAATTGGATACCACCACCTGCTTATCAGGGATATAGGACCGGGCAGCAAGATCTGGGGCACCCTACAAATCTTGGAAAGACACAGAGCCCAAATCTGAAACAAGCCTTTCTTTTTGAGTTTGTATTACTTTCTTATGTTCCCCCTTAAAATTGTTAAGTGGGAGAAGTTCCCAAGAAGAGCCCAGGCTCTGAGACAGAGAGGTAAGGCCACTCACTGAGGGAGCTGCATTATCAAGACAAGCCTTCTAGTGAGGAGTTCAGGCCTTCTCCCGCAAGATCATACAGACTACTCAACACTGGGGGGACCTGGGGAGGGCGAGAGGTGTAACTGGCCAGACTGGCGTTTCCAAATGGCCTCCATCACCATCTTAATAGGTTTCTGAGACTCCAGGCACGCGCGCGCGCACACACACACACCCTGCACCCCGACCACCCAGCAGGTGCACAGGAACCGGAAGCTAAAAGGATACTTAGTAACCAGGAGGGGCTCCATACTATTATTGACCACTCCTCCTGGAACCCACTTGTTGCGCCCGCAAGTTCCTGCCCTTTTCACTTACTCTGGCCCCAGCGGGGCTCACAACCTTCACTTTCTTTAAAACCCGAAACTCATTAAAGTCATTCCGGAGGCCGTCCGGCCACTGCCGAACCTGGTGAAACCGAATGACCGCTTCAAAGAAATCCAGAGCGACATACAGTTGGGTGAGGAAAGAGGAAAAAGGGCATGTTTCATTCTGGGCTCGGCCCCGGGCTTTGCGGTGCGTGCAGATGTCACGCACCTCCACGGATACAGAGGCGAAAGCAGACAGAAGGATGACTTCTAGGTTGCTGGCAGCTCAGAGTGCCCGGTCTGCGGCTGGAGCCACGGTGCGCTGGGCCCCCGCCCCCGAACCGTGAGGCGGGGGCTTCACCCGGCGTGCCCGCCCCACAGGGCGTTCCCACGGCCAGTCGGAGCTCGGCGACACCGGCCTCCGCGGAGGGCTGCGGGCGCAGCGCCCCCTGGCGGCCACATCCGAGACCGCATCCAGCGCGCCGGACCGCCCGCCTCAGCCCGGCCGCCTGCCCACGGGAGGCACGCGCCCCGGCTCCCGCGGCGCGGGGGATCACAGAGAGGACGCCGCGTACAGAGAGGCCAGCCTCCATTTCCCCGACCTCTGGCTTCCCCTGAACAGATCGTATCGCCTGCCCCATCCCGAGGAAACACACAGGCGCGATCCTGGTGACAACCCACAGAGACTGAAGGAGTCCCGCGGTAGCCGCACCCTACCTGCGACCCAGGTCCCGCAGAGCCGCGCCGGCCGCTCGACCACGCTCCCGAGCATCAGCCCCTGAGCAAAACAAGCCTTTATAGCGGCATCGGGCGCCACACCGCGCAGGCGCGCTACACAAAGGCTCCCAGTGGCCGAAGGGAATTGTAGTTCCCGTTCCGGTAGTCTGCCGCTCCAGACTGTGCAAAAGGACTACAGATCCCAGAAGCACCGTGGGAGCCCTGGAGGGGGTGCGGCTAAGCTTCCTTTCCACCGCGCTCGGGGCTCTGCCCTGTCCTTCGCGGTGCCTCCGAAAGTCTGTCTGGAATTTTCCCCAGAGTCCTGTGTTCCCGTGGACAGCCAGGAAGGGCGACGGGAGCCCTGTGAACTCGGGCAAAGTCACGGTGGTGCGCGGCGCAGATGCACCAGAAAACGCCCTGAAGGTCATCGGAGCCTGTGCCTGCCTGGAGGAGCGTCCAGACACCCGGCCAGCCCCAAATGTTCTCTTCGGTGGCCCTGGGGGTTTGTGGTTGCTTGCTCGTGATCAGACCCTGCATTCTGCGCACACAGAGCCTCTCTCGCGTTTATCCCAAGTGTTCCTCATGTAATGTGCCGCCTGGTTTCTAAATAATGAAATGCCAGCATCACAGTTTTAAAAGTGGCACGAGCCTTAGAAATAGCCTTCCAACCCATTCCTTTCTTCAAAAAAGGAAGAAAGAAAGGTACCTAGAAAGGTTAGTGGGAGAAAGAGGAGAGTTTCTACTCCCTTAAAAGAGTCCGTCTCTCGTCAGACAGTGTAAGACATACAAAATAATAATAATTTATAAATTATCAAGGTTTCATGAGGGAGGGGGAAAATGAGGAGCTAATACCAAGGGCTCAAGTAGAAAGAAAATGTTTTCAGAATGATGATGGTAACAAATGTGTTGACACAATGGATGCATGGATTGTGATGAGAGTTGTACAAGCCCCCAATAAAATTATTTTTAAAGAAAAAAAACATTCTTCTCGAGCCAGTCAGGGTGCAGTATAGCACTGACAAAACATACAACTTTCCACTATCAAGACTTCAATTCTACCTTACAAATCTGACTAGACCAGAACATGTACACTGCTACAGATAAGAGCCAGGACAGATAAACCCCTCAGGACCAATAATGAGAATAGAGATACCAGAAGGGGAAGGGGAAGGTGGGGGGAGAAAGGGGGAACCGATCACAAGGATCGACATAGAACCCCCTCCCAGGGGGACAAACAACAGAAAAGTGGGTGAAGGGAGTCAGTATAAGATATGAAAATAATAATTTGTAATTTATCAAGGGTTCATGAGGGAGGGAGAGTGGGAGAGGGAAGGGAAAATGAGCTGATATCAAAGGCTCAAGTAGAAAGAAAATGCTTTGAAAATGATGGCAACATGTACAAATGTGCTTGACACAATGGATGAATGTGTGGATTGTGATGAGAGCTGCAAGAGCCCCCAGTAAAAGTCTGTAATAAAATATGTGTAAAAAGAGTTCGTCTCAGAAACCCACAGGGGAAGTTCTACTCTGCCCTACCAGGTTGCTATGAGTCAGAATTGACTCTGTGGCAGCCAATTATTTTCTTTGTTTGTTTTAGATTGATTACTTTATTTCTCTTTGTGAGTAATCTATACCTTCAACCGCCTCATAATAGAAAGGCCACACAGTGCTGGAGGTGTAGTGTGTTATGCTTTGGGTGATAACTGCAAAGGTCAGCCATTCAAACCCACCATCCACTCCTTCTGTTTCCATACAGAGTTACAAGAAACCCACAGGGGCAGTTCTACCTGAGCCTATAGGGTCACCATGAGTTGGAATTGACCAGATGGCAGGGAGTTTTTCACTCTCCGTTAACTGCTTACCTATGTTATTGTTGTTAGGTGCTAGTGACCTGGTTCTGACTCATGGTGACCTTATCGTAAAGGTGAAACTGAGGTACAGGGAGACAGACAGACATAACTGGCAGGACCAGGGAGAGCAGAAACCGAAATAGCTTTATTAGGGGGGAAGCTCCCTACACCAACAGGCCAGGGAAATGGTGCTCAGCAGTGGGAGGGTCCGGGTTTTTAAAGGGGCGATGGAATGTGTGGCAATTAGCATATGGGGTCTGGACACTTTGAGAATTGCTTGCGGACTCCTTGAGGCATTCTTTGACCCTGGAGCATCTGGTTTCCCGATGATCTGATCTGGCTCCTTCTGCTGCTGACCTCCAGGACTTTCAGGGAAGCGGGGCCCTGACCTGGTTCAGCTCAGCCCAATTATTCCAGCCTTTTTAGTGATAAAGGGGCATGAGGTCTGATCTGACTACTTCCTGCTGATACGGGGCAACAGGGGGAGAGCTATAGGCTGGAATGGTCTGGACCAGCATTGGCAGGTAGGGGGCTATAAGGATGTAACAAGAGTTGGTTAGCATTTAGATCGGATATGTCTTTCATTCGTTCTTGAAGGGACTTAAAAGGACAAGGGGTTAAAAATAACAGTAAGCAACTTATTACCAGGGGTCCTACCAGGGGTAGCACCCAGGACACAACAGGGTTTTAGAACCAGGAGGTGGTTGCTGCATTGCCCCAGTGGCAACTCTTGATCTCTTCAGCCATGGTTTTTAACACTTTTATATTTTGCTCAACTACTCCCGACTTATTAATATAATAATGCTCTTTTTTAGAAACATGCACGTACCTTCCTTGTCAGTTGTTAACAGATCTAATGCACGACGGTTTGGAAGGGTTACCTGTGCCAGGGATGTAAGCTGTCACTGCAAAGAGATGAGAGGCTGAGGTGGAGTCTATGACCAGCTGGAGTTGTTTGTTAAAGTCCTGTGTTTGGAGCATGCTGTGCTGTAGTATTAAATAAAAAATTGGCGCTGGGGGGTGAAGGGCCAGCCTCCACCTGCTGCTACTACTATTACTACTCAACGGGTTCGTAATACTACTTCTGGGTTCAGTAATGCACAATTGTACGGTTGAGATATATAAATATTATATTAAAGTCATTGAGAGCATGAGAGATAATACAATAATACAGTCAGACACATTACAAGATAGCATTGCTCACCTCAGCCCAGCTTGGTAGTCCACGTGGAGAGAGGGGGAAGGGAAGGAGGGGAAGAGAACAAGGAAGAGGGGAGTGACCAGGGAGTGAGCAGCA